TTTTGCTCAGTTTTTGAACAAGGCTTAATTACGTAATTAGTGCCTTGATTTTTGCTAAACGGTTTTGACTGGTTATCTCTCTAACGTTTATTTCCAGATTAATTAAACTTTGGCCGTTTTACTAGCTGTTTTGACTGGGTAAATTAACGTTTTAATTGACCGTTTTTGGCGTTAATCACGCTGGTGTTGGAACGGTTTTTGCTACCGTTATACCATTGTTTTGCCTATAAAACATCATGTTATGTTCACTGTTTTTGTATAACAAAAAATCACAGAATTTTTCTAATCCCTTTTGTCTCTTACAAAATATTCGAGCAGTGTTCTTTATATTTTTTGGTGGTTAGTTGTCCACTGGTTCTGTGCAAATCCACTGGTATTTTCCTTGCTTAGACAGACTGTTTTATCCTGGGGAACATCCGGTTGTTGTACGAGCTGCTTGCACAAATTAAAGGACAGTACCGTGAATGTTCTAAAGAGAGCGACATAGTCCGCGACTCAGTCTAATTCCCGGTAACTTTGTTCTGTTTTTATTGTTTACAGCAGTTCGGTTTTTAACAATTTCACAAAAGGGTTAGCATGATTGAAAGCTTAACAACTAACCTCTATTAACTTAAATTTTAGTGGCAAATTCTGTTCGGTACATTTTTTAGACTAAAGTAGAACAAACAAAATATAATTGATTTCTATAGTGAACAAATCAGAATATATCTCAGAACCCAAGACTCCAGGACCTTATATGTACTAATTATTGATGAATGAATTGAAGTTAAGATCACATTGGAGCTTGGTCAGATTGGCAACTGTAACATTCTGGACAGCCTAATAAACAACCTGGACTGTGCATCAAATTGAGAAAGGTGAGGTTTTGCAATGTTCAGAGAGCAGGTTCAGGTACTATAAGTCTCTAGATAGTAAAATTCACAAAGATTGATCAAAATTGGACTCAAATAAATGGCTTGAATTTTTGGATTGCCCTTCATAGCTGCTAGTGTAGTGAATGTGGCCATTGGAAAGTAATAAGAGAGATGATCAATGATAAACTAAGGGGATGACAGCCTAATCACACGAACACCTCCTAAGACACCCAAAAAATGGCCTCGTTAGCTTTCGAGGGTGTCAGCAAAACACCCTAAAAAACGCTCTAAAACTCACACCCGTTATCTGATGTCATGCATCAACTCATATTAACAAGTGCAAATGTCCATGTCAATCACTAAGCAGCAACAGAAATACAGAGCTATTTGTAAATCATAACCATTAAAATCATCTTAACCCATAATCATATTAAATTACAAAAATAAGACAACCCAGAATATATTACATCTAAAAATCAAATCCAACATCAAATTAACCAGTTATAAATGCCAAATTCACTTCAGAGATTAAAAGGGTAACGATGACTTACATGAAATTCAGAATACAACAACGATTTCGCCGGCATCAAACCCAACTAGCCAACCATAAATCCAAAGAAAGCAGTGTGAGTAGAGAGAAAAGCAACTAGTTAATTACGAATTGAAATAGATACTCTATACTCTTAATTAACTCTCACCTAAGTAGAAAGAAAGAAGGTGAGTAAGTAGAGTAACCGATTGGGGGATATGATGATTTTAAGATGATGACTGTGTTGTATAATAAGATCAACCACTGAAAAGTGGAGTAACTGCTTATTCATGATCAAAAAAATTTGGAGCCAAAAATAATTTACAATTTCGCGGGTTTGGAGAAGAATATGGAGTTGAGGCGTTGAGGAAGAGTTGAGGCGTTGAGGAAATGAGGGTGGAGTGACCTGTTGAGGATGATGGGGTTTGGTTTTTTTTTTTTTTAATTTATTTATTTTTTAACTTATTTTCTATTTGGAGAACTAAATGTGGACTACTAGCTAATGGTTCTTCTTTTTGGAATAAACTAGGGGATCTTACTTAGGGCGGGCAAATCCTGACCCGACACGAAAACCCGACCCGATTTGACCCAAATTTCATATTTCGTAATAATATTAAGTTTTACACTATTTTTAATAGTTTCTAAGCATAATCCGAAATCGACCCGAAATCTGACCCGAACCCGACCTGCTGACCCGAATTCTTACTTGGGTGGGATTACAAATATCTTAAGGAAACAAAGTTGTAATCTATTATTGGATTATGACGAAGAAATTATTGGATTAAAAAAAAATTAATTAAAATGGGTATTGGTAGCAACTTGCTAGTTTCCGGATGGTAATCTAATAATAATAATAATAATAATAATAATAATAATAATAATAATAATAAATCAAACTATTTATTTTAATTGTTTCAAAAAAAAAAAATATTTATTTTAACGAATAAAAAATAGGTGTACAATAAATTTTGTATATCCGTATTGATATTGTCCTAAATGATTACTAGTTAGGGTCTGTTCTCATACGATTATTTCCAGTTCAGTTCAGCTCTAATAAGTTCAATTTAGCTCCTAATTTCATTCTCTTATAAAATATTCATTTAAGTTTAGTTCAATTCAGCTCTAATAAGTTCAGTTCAGTCATGAGAACAAACCCTAACTTTTTTTTTTAAAAAATGGGTGTACAATATTACTCCTAATATATACACACAAACGTTTTTTTTTTAAAAAAACCGGGTGTACAATAATTATTGTACATCCATTATAAAGATAGCCTAAAGTGATCAGAAGTTACCCCTATAATGAATAAAAGTTACCACAATATGTATAAAAGTAACCCAATAAAGAAAAGGTTTGTAAGTAAAAGCAACTATAATATACTTATATAACTTATTTCATTGGCTATTTACATTAAAAATTGGCAAAAAGTTACCCTACTAAACTATTTTACGTGTTCTAAATCATGATTAATTTTATCTAAGCTTATGTGAGATTATTTTTTGTAAAATAAATGGAATAAAGGTGAACATAATAGAGTCTTGTTTGTAATAATATTTGACTTTATACAAATGTAATATTGAATCGAAATCAGCAAAAATGTAATCAAGGAGACCAAAGTCAACTGATACGAAATAGACCCACTCAAACTCGTTTAAACCTAAGCTTATACTCCAATTTGACCATTAACTAATACAAAATTGATGGCTTTTTCCAAATTTGACATGGACCCGATAATTATTGTCTCGACTCAAAATTGATCAGATCCAAACCGAGGTGGTTCAAAAGGGTAACCTTGACCATTATAACAATCTTTTTAACACAATTGTGAAATTCAAGTTACTATATAGAGTAAAAAGAAACAAGGTTACGTAGTGAGTTTTACCATTAAGTTTTATACAAATGTGAAATTCAATCAAATTCAATCAAATATGTTACTCATTAGTAATAATTAAGTCTTGTTTAAAAATAATAATAATAATAATTAAGTCTAAAATCTAAGGGTTTGTTTTGATTGGCTGAACTGAGCTGAACCGAACTGAACTAAACTTATTGAAGCTGAACTGAACTGAACCAAACTGAATATTTTATGAGAGAAGGAAATTAAGAACTGAACTGAATTGAACTGAATGGAACTTATTAGAACTGAACTGAACTAAAAATAATGAAGAGAACAGGTCCTAAGTTTATTATGAGCTAGTATGTAATAATTTTGTTAAAAAATGAGTATGTGATAATGATATAGATTCATTCATATTATTATTATTATTATTATTATTATTATTATTATTATTATTATTATTATTAATCATTGAAGAAAAAAATCACAAAGTTAACTAACCCCCAACTAATTCGTTAGAGACTTAGTTCTTCCTTCAAAGTAGAACAAACAGAACCATATTCAACTAATTCTTCCCACAAAATAAAAAACCCCAACTAATTTTTCCCACAAAATCGAACAAACAAAACCAAATTGCCCCTATGTTATTCCAACTCTCATAATTTCGCTCACCTATTCCTAATAGATTAACCCCAAAATAGCATCAAATTTGATTTTGATTTCGATTAAATTAATACTCCGTATCAACTTTTAATTTGTTGGTGTAGATTGAAGAGAGTAAAGAATCAAATATAGATAGTTTGTTGCCATCTTCTAATAATATCTTGGTGCAACCTGAAAATAGCAGCGGGTAGATCGAGGAAGAAACAAAGACAAGTAAGTCCGGCAATTCGACTAAACTTGCTAATTTCTGTTCGTTATTTGGTATTTCGTTAACTTGATTATCTAGAGTAACTTGTACTGGGTTTGCAGATTTCATACATTGTTGTAGCATATTGAATTGTAATATGAGTTAAATTTGTGTTCTTATGATAATACATGCATATTTCTTATCTAATCTCTCCATGCTCAACATTGTATGTAATTTAGGCATAAGAGCCGCTATGAGCATCCTGCAAATTTTAGTTAGCAAACTTTGAGTAGCTGAGCTATATTCTTGCCTGATGGGCTCATAAAATTCTGCAATTTACAGTTCTAAGGCAGTCTGATGCTGTAGGAAATATTGCTTGAGTAACTACCTTGAACCTGTCTACCCCCGAGCTGCAATGTGCTTGATGATACACGCTATAAAGAAGCTCCACAAGGCACTTTTTGAAGGTCTAGCAACATTTTTCAAACCTTATGGTCTGAAATTGATCTTGCTTTCCTATCCTCACAATGCTGACCAGACGATTGAGTAGCTTCAATTACTAGACCGCTTGAAAGTTTTATGGCGGGTTCTCTGCGATCTCATTGTATTCATAATGACTCGTCATAGAACTTGTATCATCTAAACTTATGCTTAGGAGGATTCTCAAGAAACTCATGACTAGCTGAAGGTAAGAAGTGCCTACTTATGCCCTGTTGCTACCTATTTAGATGAATTCAAATTACAATAATTCAGAGTTCAGAATCTTACAGGTTTAAAATCGTACTGTTTTCTTTATTTTGTATTTTTTTAACTCCAAAGTTGGGATTTGCTTACAGTTTAGATGAATTTAAATTACAGTAATTCTTCATTACTTAACCTTTAAACTAGATATGCATGCTCTTCACTCCCTTTTTAGACATATAACTCACTATGTTGCTTCAGGTCTCAACTAAAGACACCGATATGGCAAACATGCTATTGAACTGTGTGCCCGTCTATGCAATGATACCGGTAAGCCTGCATTAATCAGCATTCAGCACGAGTATTTCCTTAATTAAGTCACATAACAAATTCAATGACTAATTTATTTACTTGTTTTGTGGCCTGCATACATTAATCAGCAATTCAGTAAGCCTGCATTAAACAACAATTCAGTAAGCCTGCATTAATCAGCATTCAGCACAAGCATTTCCTTAATTAAGTCACATAAAAAATTATTGTAAGGGCCTATTTTCTGTAGTTATGCTTCTTGTATCTTGCTACTTGACCATATATTTACAGTGGATGTTTTACATTGAGGCTTTCTTCATCTGTTGTAGGCATATGAGAAATTTGAAGTTTAGGAAATACGGCTCCTTAATCAAGGCCATTTACAGATTCACTACGGCCAAAATTATGGTAAGTCTTTTATATGTAAATTGTTTGTTCTATTATCTTTTTACTTGTTAAAACATTCTGAAACTGAAAAGGGCTACCCTGTTCTGTGTAATGATAAGTAGATAAGCAAAAATAATTTTTTAGCTCCTACAGGGGGCGGTTGACGAGTTGAGGTTAAAACATGTAATCAAAGAATCCTTACGACTACATCCTCCGGTTCCTCTTTTAGCTCCTAGAGGATCCATGGATAGATGCCAAATTTATCCGTATGACATACCAGCAAAAACACATGTCATTATTAATGTATGGGCTATTGGGAGGGATCCTGAGTATTGGCTTGAGCCTGAGAAGTTTTATCCCAAAAGGTTTGAAGATTCATTGATTGATTACAAGGGAAGCAACTACGAGTTGCTTCCCTTTGGCGCGGGTAGGAGAGGGTGCCCGGGCATGGCATTAGGTGTAGCTATGTGTGGAATAGTGTAATTCTCCTTGAGGAGGCATTCTCATTAATTCAATATATATAGGATTTACAACCTAAGATATGAGATAACCTAAATTACACAAAATATATCTTTATAGAATATTAACAAGATAATATTAACATATTATCTAACACACCCCCATAGTCGAAGCGGGAGAAGGTCGAACGCTAAGACTGTTTCTGAAATCTAAGAACAGTTGGCGAGGGAGCCCTTTTGTGAAAATATCGGCGTACAGATACGAAGATGGAACATGTAAGACCTTGATCTCACCAAGAGCGACCTTGTCGCGTACAAAATGAATGTCCATCTCGATGTGTTTGGTACGCTGGTGTTGTACCGGATTAGAAGACAGGTAAACCGCAGAGATATTATCATAGTAGACCAAGGAAGCTCGTCTGATAGGGCAATGTAACTCAAGAAGAAGATTTCGAAGCCAACATAATTCAGATACGACATTAGCGACACCTCTATATTCTGCTTCAGCACTAGACTTTGACAATGTAGCCTATCGTTTTGCAGACCATGAGACAAGATTATCACCCAAATAAACACAATACCCAGAAGTGGATCGCCGGGTGTCCGGGCACTCGCCCAAATCGGCATCTGTGTATGAAATAAGTCTCGTTAGTGCAGAACGATACAAATGTAGACCATGATCAAAAGTGCCTTTGATATATCTAATAATACGCTTAAGAGCGTTAAAGTGAGGTTCCCAGAGAGCATTCATAAACAAACAGATCTGCTGAACAGCATAAGCAATGTCTGGTCGAGTGAAAGTAAGGTACTGAAGCGCACCTGCAAGACTCCTGTAGAGAGAGGAATCCTTCACTGGCTCACCATCGTGAACCCCAAGTTTCGACTTAGTGTCGACGGGAGTGACAACAGGTTTGCAACTATCCATTTTTGCCCTGTGAATAATTTCCTCTGCATACTTACTCTGACAAAGGATCATGGAGTCCTTTGTACGTGTGACATAAATACCCAAAAAATAACTCAATTTCCCCAGATGAGTCATGGAGAATTCAGACTTAAGGAGAGCAATAATATCAGTCTTGAGTTTTTCAGATGAAGCTGTAAGAACAATTGTAGACACCCATTTGTGTCTCCCCAAAACCAAACCCGGTGATGAGTACCTTTCACGTCGAATCATAATCGAATGAAACGAAAGTGTGGAAAGGTCTAGTGTTGCGGAAAGTTTTTATTTCTTTTCTCTTCTTCCTGATTTTGAAAACTTTATTTTAAGAAAACAGCTAATCCAGTTTGGTTGGTCCATGATATGGGTCCAATAGTGGTGTAGTTGGATGGGGCTTGCAAAGACCTTTCCAACGATATATTATAAGCCCGATTCCGATGAATATTGAGGAATTTATGGCCAATTTACTAAATTAGGCCCGGTTTGAGCTTTATTTACGGCCCTATGATCTAGGGGAGGGCCTAATATAATTTATCATTCCTAATGTAATTAGGAATGGTTTTAGTCTTCTAGAACATTCTAGAAGGTCTTATCATTCTTAATTCAATTAGGACTCTTCAGTGTTTTAATCAGATCAAATAGCATTTTCGATTGAAATTATATTATTTTATCTTCCAGTACGGGAAATTTATCAGATTTTCGAAAACGCGTTAAAAGTCAATTTCATTCGATAAATTATCTTTTTTGGATGTTTTTCTCTATAAATATCGTATCAAAAACTCCGTTTTGGAGGACGGATCGACATCTATCGTTCACCAATTCTCTTTATTCTTAAGTTTTAATAAACTCCGTTTTCAATCATCAACTTTCTTCATTCACAAATTCTCATCAACGATTAGTTTTAATTAGCATTCATTAATTCTCTTCATTCATCAAGCTTTCATTGATTAACATTCATTCTCTTCTTTCTCTTCTTTCTTGCTTTTTAATACAAAATTCCGCATTCGCAAGATCTAGAAACACTTAGCCATATTCGAAGTTGCCTTCGCCCTAGACGTGAAAGGTTTTAATTTCTGAGGGTTTGGTCCCAAATCTCTCTTTCAATTATTTAATTTAATTGTTTTGATTATTATTTTCCTTGAAGTTACTAACGTGTGTATTTTGTTATTAGAAAGAGGTACGAGGCATCCAAGTAAGTACTTTAATGGTTTAATTGATATTATGATATAGAAATCATGCTTAGATTGTTATTTTAATTCCTAGTATCATGTCTAGGGTATCTTTAATATCAAGTATGATTAAAAGTATGATGCTTCCTATATTCTCCCTAATATTTATGATTGTTTATGGTTAATTGTGATTATAATTTCAAGTGATCACCAATAATAGTTTATTTGTGCATTAAATTCAACCAACATAGATTAAACAGGTTTAGGGTTTAACGTATTGATTGTATGTTAGTCAGAAAGCGCACATGAATACGAGCAGAATAAAGTAGAGGCCTATTATTAGGGCAGGTTCAATCTCTTTTAGGTTGGATTTGTACCATCATCCCCGAACCCTTATTTGGTTCATGACCTTATGGAGTTGACGATCTCTTGGATCGTTAAGGGGAATAACCTTCACCTCGTGAACGGTTTACAAGTTCCTTAAAAACTTGTTGGCGACTCTTTTGCTCTATCTTCTTCCCTTTTGGACGCCACCGTACTTTAGTGTATGATCACAGTGGGGTTTAAGCTAGTGGGATTTTAAAGGCTTGAAATTATTCCCTACAAGTTATTTAATTTAATTGCTTTGATTTATTATTTTCCTTGAAGTTACTAACGTGTGTATTTTGTTATTAGAAAGAGGTACGAGGCATCCAAGTAAGTACTTTAGTGGTTTAATTGATATTATGATGTAGAGATCATGTTTACATTGTTATTATGATTCCTAGTATCATGTCTAGGGTATTTTTAATATTAAATATGATTAAAAGTATGATGCTTCTTATGTTCTTCCTAATATTTATGATTGTTAGTATCCTGTTAGGGCTAAAGATTTGATTTTTATTGCTTAGTGACATGCTAGGGTTTGTTATTAATCTTGTTAGTATCATGCATAGGATCTTGCTATGCTTTAACATGATTATAATAATTTATGATTGATGATGATTATTATTAATTATGATGATTATTATTATGTTGCTTGACACATTATTTTATTTGTTATTGCTTGATCACATCTTTTATTGCATGTTTAAAGGGAATTGGTACTTGCAATCACGCTTAATAAGATATTAATAATCTTGTTAGGTTAATTATGATTATAAATTCAAGTGATCGCCAATAATAGTTTATTTGTGCATTAAATTCAACCAACATAAATTAAACAGGTTTAGGGTAAATCTATTGATTGCATGTTAGTCAGAAAGCGCACATGAATACGAGCAGAATAAAGTAGAGGTTTATTATTAGGGCAGGTTCAATCTCTTTTAGGTTGGATTTGTACCATCATCCCCGAACCCATATTTTGGTTCATGACCTTATGGAGTTGACGATCTCTTGGATCGTTAAGGGGTGTAACCTTCATCCTCGTGAACGGTTTACAAGTTCCTTAAAAACTTGTTGGCGACTCTTTTGCTCTATCTTCTTCCCTTTTGGACGCCACCGTACTTTAGTGTATGATCACAGTGGGGTTCAAGCTAGTGGGATTTTTAAAGGCTTGAAACTATTCCCTACAATTTTTGGCGACTCCACTGGGGAGGATTTCTATTTTAATTCCTGAATTTGTTTCGGCAATGATTTAGAATGAGTGGATGAGACTCGAAAAGTTCTAAGTATTTCATGTGCGTAATTTTGATTAACATTGTGTCATATGCATAAAAAGGTTCTCATTGGAAAGACCATCCGTAATGAGTCAAAAACATAGGATTTTACACGTAGGAAATTTGAGAAATGTCTTTCACAACTAGGACTGAAATAACACCGCGCGAAACTGGATGATTTTATCGAGCACCGAAAGCTGCTGAGGCATGTGGGAAGTAGCGTCAAGGGCCAAAGCTTGGCGCCAAGTTTTTAGCCGTAGCGCCAGACGCCAATATTGGCGTCAGGCGCTACAGTTAAAAGTTGGCGCCAGTCTCTGTTTGCTGGCGCCAATTTCCCCCAATACCGAGCCAGAAATATGCGTTCTAATTTCGACCGGTTTTTCGTATTGTTTGCTCGATCCTACTTCCTGATTGAATTTTTTCTCACTTTTCTGAAACCCATATGTGTTCTACATATGGACATAACCCTCTGGGAATTCATGCTCTATCTACCCGATTGAACGCTCCTGGCAATAAAAGGTACATCTGAGAGGTTGAATTCACCAAACCATGGAAGCGAGTTTTTTCTAAAAAACTCGCGGTGTTCTATCCACACGCGTTAACCCTTCACGGTTAGGCTTCTACGCGGTGCATCTGGACAATTAACCATGGACCCTGTTTGACTAAACCATATCCCGAACTTTAGAGAACTAGAGCCAAGGTTATATTTCGAACTCATTGCATCATGTTGTGCCTACTTGACTAATTGTGCATTATTTGTTGTGCATATATATCCTATGCTCCTCTTAACCGTTTGTTGATTTGTGTTGAGATTATAATTAATGACTTAAAGAACTTTGCCTAATTAATTAATTAATTTGAGTCAATAAAGTTTTTTTCTTCTTTTAATCGGAATTGACCTAGTACGACTTTAGGCATACCCCAGTTGACTAATAATATCGAAAACAGTCCCAGACCGAGGCTTTAATATTGGTGCCAAAATCTGAGCTGTAGCGCCACTGTATGGTGTGTAGCGCCAGACATTTACTAAAAAGTCTGGCGCCAATCACCATATTGTGACGCCAGTTCTGTCGCTTGGCCGACAGTTCGGATTATTTGTCGAGTCATCACCTAATGTCTATTTAGTCAATTTTCTGTTTAACTCGACTAACTTTGCTGATTATAATGCCTAATTAAATTAATATTCGAGTTTAGGCACTAAGTCCCATTGTCTTACACAAGAGTCCAAGCATGTCACTTACACTCAATACACACACCAATACACATGTTTTGACCATGATTAAGAGAGTCTTGTGTGCGCGCATCATTTTTCGTCATTATTTTAGGGGGGTAAGTCGGATATTAATCCTCCAATAAATAATAATACTTGAGTTCCCTAAAAACATATACATTATTGCTCCCTAAAAATATGCAGCATACCTTTTTTTTTTTTTACTTTTTTAATAAAAACCATAAAGTCAAATTGATTCGAGTCAAGTAATTAAAACGCAAATTGGCTTAATTTACAGCGCGTGGTCAAGAAAAGAAGGACGATTAATCAAAGATAACCTCTTCGTACAAGTCCAACTTTTCGACAAACCTATAGCCCGCAAGAGGAAAGCAAGAGTCATAACGGCAACTCAGGAAGAAGTTAACGATCTCAAGAACCAACTGGCTACTGTAACTGAGACACTGAAGCTTCTCGCACTTAAGATCGAGGATCCCGTGAAGCAACAACAAATGGACCTCATGCAAGAAAGCCTAAGCAAGTTGTCCAGCGACTACAAGTTTCAAGAACTCACATCCCAAGGGGGCTCGGTGGATAAAGATCTTCTTCCGCAGAAGTTCAGTGCCAACGACATCCCAAACTTTAGGGCAATCGACAACCCATACTTCCATCTAAGAGCGTTTGAAACAATAATGAGTATCAAGGGTATCGATAAGAAAGTCTTCCCTTCTCTGTTCTCGCTATCTCTCGAGACCATTTGCCAACAATGGTTCTTTTCTCTTGAAAAAGAAAAGACCTCTACCTGGAAATCCATAGCAAACGCTTTCGTTGATAGGTACAAGTGCAACATTCAAGTCGAAACTGACCATAGAGAACTTGAAATCCTTAAACAGAAGGAAAATGAAGGCTTCACATCTTTCTTTAACAAGTGGAGAGAAACCTCAGTTAAGATGATTGAGGTACCAAGTGAAAAAG